TTTTTTTTTTAGTTCTGCTGATAACTACCCCTCCTTGTCCCTCCTGATCCAGACAACTGTTCCTCTACGCATGTTCCATGTGGACCCTTCCTTCATCCACTTCCGCGTTGTGGCTGATTGATATTGACTCGGCTTTCCTCCCACATTGTTGTTCTTTTTTTCCTTCTTTGAATCTCTCTCAATTCCCTTTTGTCTGACCCCCCAACCTGCTTCCCCTTACTTGCAAAGTACGTTGGCACAGACCTAGACCCTTCAGCCTATCCTTGTCGTCTTAGTACTTCCATCCCACCTCCCTCCCAATCAACTTCCCTATCCTCCCCCCGCCCTCTGGAGATCTGCCCTTTTTCTGAAACACTCATACCCAGAGGTGAATCATCTCAAGTGTTGTTGAACCCCTCATCTCCCCTATTACCTCTGTAAACCAGTGGTCCCTGTGACGTTCCTCCTCCCTGTGCTTCTCCCACGTAACGTCCCTATTGCGTAGGGCACTATCAGTCATGGAGTCCAGTTGCCATATCACTACCATTGGTTTCGTGGATTGTCAACTGACACCGACTTGGACAAACAGATCGCTCTGTGTAATTTCAGTACTCGTGTACTTGTTAAATTCTGGATCCGGACTTATTAACCGGGTAACTTGACGCCATCAGCACCGGTGTTAGACAGATCCGCCAGAAACTAGCGGTTCGGGTTGCAAGATCAGACGAAGCGTGTGGAACAACAGAACTGAACCTTATTATATTCAACATGGCGCCCACCACCACCACCAAGACTACTGTGCAGACACCTGTACGTGCCGTACCGTCCGCGTTGGGATCCGTTGGATCATAGTGCTGACCTCGAGTAGCCCAAGACCGAGGGTCCGCCGAAGCTGTCCGACATGAAAGACTGCATCGACCAGCTCACATTTGAACAGATCCTGGAGATGGACGATGACGATGATGAGATGGACTTCAGCAAGGGAATTGTCTTCGGTTTCTTTGACCAAGCTGAAGCCACCTTTGCAAAGATGGAAAAGGCCCTGTAAGTATGCCCGGAATAGCAGCCGAGGGATTCCAGGACTGACCCAAACTGCACTTGCAGTGAGGACAAACAACTCAGCGAGCTATCTTCATTGGGACATTTCTTGAAAGGCTCGTCAGCTACTCTGGGGTTGACTAAGGTTAAGGATGCATGTGAGAAGATCCAGAACTACGGTCTTGGGAAGGATGAGACGGGTACCAACAACGAATCGGAGGAGGAGTGTCTGAAGAAGATTAAGAAAACCCTGTCGGACTGCAAGGTGGATTACAAGGAAGTAGAGAGCTTCCTCCGCAGATATTACGGCGAAACCAGCAGCAGCAACAACGAGAACAAGAATGACGACAAGTAGTCCTCCAAAGCAAAGGTGGAAAGAAGTTGAAAGCGTGAGGATGATGGTTGACTGGAATATACCACGTGAGGTGACACACCTTTTCACATCAAAACTGCATTCGGCACCATAACCGAAAGAGAAAACAACGCAATTTTTTTAATTTCCAGAAGCGCGTCTGATAATACCCTCGGGTTGTTTTCGTCCAATGCTTGCTCTCCTTAACCCCGTATGAACCAAGGATACTATGACGATACATGAGGTAGATGATATGTTTTCTTATTTTCTTTGCCCGGCCTTCTCCGAGTTTCTGTTATTATTATTTTTTCTTTTTTTTCCAGCTCTATCTAGTCTAGAGGTTTGTTCATAAAATAGGGGAGATTTCTGTTACCCTTTTGTCCAGCCATTTCTATCGAGCACACAGGGACAGAGCTTCGAGTCCCACGGAGACAAAACTCCCTTGGCACCGCATGTGATGGTAGATTTCCTATTATTATTATTTTTCTCTCTTCTCCGTGTAAATGGGCGTGTATCAGGTGTGTGACCGATACCCAGCACAAGGCCGGCTGCAGATGTCATGCCCGACATGCTTTATGAGGGTTTAGACATCCATCCCCCTTGGATGGGAAGAGGTACGACGAGTCGGCAGTTTTTTCTTTTTTCTTTTTGTTTTTTGTTGAAGACCATCACCAGTGATACCATACCTGTGATTTATGATCCAACGGTCATTCCATCCTGAAGGAAGTCTAACTTCTCTGGCAGCATCATCTACCCCATGTCGGGTGCCATCGAATCAACCGCGCAAACGCAACTGGCCAGGACAACGCATTTACCCTATTGAGGAGGAGTCGATAGACTTTCGTGTCTTAATCTACTCCGTTTGCCTTGTACTTCCATCGACCAAACAGGTATTAATGTCCTGCGAGACACCTCGATCCGTTGTAATATCCGGGTTAACTATCGCGGAGTGCCTTCCTAAGTATGTAGTCGCATACAGTTTCCGAAGGAATCGTCGTGGACTGAATATATTCTATATAAGGTGTCGGATTCATCCTCCAACCCAGTTGTCTTCTTTCTTCATACTTATAGAATCGCGTAAGATCACACAGCCTCTCTATCCCATTATAGCCACCAAATCGAACACTAGAACCAAACCAGCAATCCGGTCCATTACCCGTACCTTTTCCCCTACACCAATCCGCCTTCGAGGATCTCCAAGCCAGTGTAACACTCCCATATTATATTCCAAATATCTTGTATAAACCGAACCCCGGAATGTCACATCAAACATGGCGACGGCCTTGACGAACTTGACTCCAGGTCTCCGATGGGCACACCGAGACTCCGGACGAGGACAGTGTAGACCCCATGCTGTCTTGTTTGTTTGCCTGTGTGACTTGGATGGTAGGTATGGATTTTTTTTGGTCTTGAGTGGGTATACAGAAGTAACTTTTTGTCCCTCGTTGTTCTCATGGGTGAGAGTTGTCTGTGCGGAATCACTTTTATTGATTGGGTTGTTACACGGCTGCGGGAGGTTATTGGGTTCTTAACCTCTTTCTTTTGCTGGTTTGGGTGTAGATATGGTGGTGGATTTATATATGCATCCATCGGATATAGAGATAGATATACACTTACACTTACATATACATACGACTTCATATCAAGGATAGAGAGCAGCGTACTGTCAAGGAATGGGAGAAAAAAAAAAAAAAAAAAGCAAATCCCAATGCACTACCTCCCATCAAACAGCCCCGTTTGACACTCTGACCCCCCAAAAGTAGTAGACGAGACCAGGTACGCCCCGTTTGATGTCATTTGCGTTTCACCCCAGGCAAGGATCTTCCACCAGGGGTAAATTCGATCACTAAACCTAACCCAACCCAACCCAACCTAGCCTCTGGGGACCTGGACAGTTTGTATACTACACGTGAACCTCGCTCGAGGTCGAGGCTTGTACATACTTGTACTATCCTATACTGGGAATGTTTTACTCGGGCTTTATACTAGACTAGACTGGACTGGACTGGACTGGACCAGACGTAAGTGTATGTACATGACACAGCCTGAGGTTATTTATGTATGTAGCTAACCACTCCCCCATGCATGTCATATCAGGCCATGAGATGTACTATTCTGTCCACTATCTTCTATACCAGCGAAGTTGGACTTGTTTCGTGCAGGGGTAGGTTATGTATGCACAGAATCACCGGGTACGTACATACATGCGTAAGCTAGTCTAGCCTGTCTCTTTCAATACCGTCGTCCTTCGTTCTCGATTCCCTATACAAGTTCCCCATTACAACACAACAACAACAACAACAACAACAACAACAGTCCCAGCAAATAACAAGTAGAAGAACAAATATCTCACACCTGAAGATAACTTACGTAAAAGCCCTTACATCGAATCCTAATCAAAGTCCATCCATACAAAATCCACCGATCCAAACCCACCCGAACACCCCTGCCCCAATACCCGATCCGTCCCGACGACCCTGAAGTACCAAGTCAGCCCTGGGTAATTGTACACACACA